TGATACCAGTAGTCTGAGTATCAGTATCAATGGTATTGAGTACTGAATGAGTAGTCAGCTACTGCGCATGTGCAAATAAGTTAATTAGTTATTAATAAAAAATCAAGAGAAATCAGCTGCCATTTTTATAATTATGGAAGGGTATGCCCATCATTATGACGGCAAAGGTGTAGTTGGGCGTGGTCACCCACTACTTGATACCAGGATTTGGTATCCAGTACTTGGTATCAGAGGCCTGGTATCAAATATATGAGTACTTTGGTATTGTATCGCCCACCTCTATTATTGAATGATCATTCTACATGCACTTGCAGTCATGTAATGTAGAGTAATGTCAGAGTTTAAACTGCCTACAGTTGGTTCAGCTTGTTATCCACAATGTATAAAACCTTAAATAAGCAAAACATAAAACCTAATAAGCCTTCAAACCCTAAATGTCAATATAACTTTACTTTAGCCAAAATCCATTATAGAAATACTGTTTCCTATCACATATGCATTACTTTAAATATTTGTCCACTAGGATAATCTCTAAGTATACTTTTTATCATTTCATATAATGGAGGCCTCTTCTGACCAAAATTATCACCAGCAAGATCACCTGAACTCTATAAAAAAGTATCAGGGAAAAATTCCTTGAAAATTAGTGTTTAACTTACAGTTTCAAGAATTATATTAACCCCAATTGAAATCTTAATAATTCCAGTGGCTTTTAAAACTTTTTTAATTTTTTTTACAAAAATAGTGACATCCTTTGTAAACCACATTGGAATTGTACACACAAATGTTAAGAGACTCTTGTGAACAGCTTTCAAAGATATATATATGCTACAATCTTCAAAAACACTTCTAAGGAATTCTTCAAACTCAGACAGCATGATCCGAGTTGACTTCCATGAAACAACAAATATCATCTGAAATAAAATCCAAATAATAAAGAGTTTGAATTAGATTTATTTACCTCTTCATGGTTTGCTAAGGTTTTATGATCCTTAATAGCTTTCTGAGCAAAATCTTCAGCAAGTATTCTACTATAAAATATTTTTCTTTTGTCTGTGAACCTCTTTAGTATTTTCATTGAATCTTTTAAGGCAAGTTTTTCAACCAAGAAATTTAGCATTCCAAAATTAGAAAAGTAGCAGTACTTTCGAAGAAATGACATCAAAGTTATTCCATCTTTAATATTTTGCACTTCATCTGCTATTTCAGCACGAAGAGAAGCTAGATATAATTTAATCTTATCCAGGGATCGCTTTTTTAAAGCCTCTTCAACAATCTCACATAAAATACCAGAAAAACAAAAGCTCATATCCTGATACTCTTGTTCCAGTGAAATAGGAGTATTATAAGCTAATATAAAAATAATTTTTATCAAAAGGCTGTCACAACTCACTAAATGTCTTTGGTATTTCAGTAGGATACTTCAGTGTTCCTAAATTGTTATAATCATAGCATAAATCTTATCAGCAATCACTGGTTAGGCTCACCATACTATAGCATACATGGTTGAAGTACATGTAGATGATTTATTGGCAAGGAATTAATATTGGCAATTGGTGGTACTATGCAGAAATTTTCAATATAGAATCCACCATTTAGTTTCAATCTGAGCATGCTCAATGGCATGTGGCACAAAAATTGCCACTATGGCAAATTCGAACCATCTTGTATAGTAGCCAGAGGAAGTACAATAGGCATTGTTGTAAAATTTACAGTTTTGAATTTACAGTGCATACAGTACATTAAAATCATGATTTTATGTTGAAGTTCACATTCCCATTATAAAACAATTAAAATAAGGAAACTTAAGTTGATAAAAATAATAAAATGATTCACTACACAAAATAGGATTTGAAATAATTTTTTATCCATATATCACCTTTATGCTACAACAAAAGAGTAAGGATCTAGATCTTTCTTATTTTTTGCAAAATTTGTTAGAACTTCACTATTTACCTTTCAATGGGTGTGAAATGTGAATACACAAAAATTAAAGTATATTATACCTGCAGTGGGCTACGTGAGACTATGGTACATGTACGTGCATACATTTCAAGTTAGCATTTCAAAG